TGAGGTAGATGAAGAAAAGGGTGAAATGAGGTGGAGAGTGGAGGGAAATTGTGGTGGGAGGAAAGGGGGAGGGAGAGGGGAGGAGGGGGCCTTTGCAATACTTATGGATTGATCCGTTGACAGACTTGTTGTTTGGTGGGTTCTTTGGATTTGTCATTGATGATTTATTAATTAATCAATTGCTTGACGATTGGTCGAATGATTGACTGACTGGCTGATTGATTTATTGACTGATTGATTGAATTGTTTGACTGTTTGGTTGATTGGTAGATGATCAAGGATTGATAATACTAAAATGTAATGCTTTAAAAAAAAAAGACAGGCAGCTAATTAAGCGACCAAACACTAACCAACTGAACACTAACAAGAACGTTGCCTGTCCTGTCTAATGTTGGGTATTCATTCCCACCTGGGTGAAGAGAGTTAAAAGTGCCTTTCCCAAAGGAGACAACATCGGTCCCAGACGGGATTCGAACCTACGACCTTACGTATGAGAGTCTGGGAGCCTAACCACTAATCCATCGACGCCACGAATACTACCAACTGCAACTTCAAAATGTATCCTTGTCTGTGTTATGACTGCTAATATGTACCCCTGTCAGTATTGTATCCCTTTTTGTGTACATCACTGTCCGTTCTATGTTTTCTTTTCTGTGTGTCCCTGTCTATATGTATCCCTTTCTGTGTAAATCTCTGTCTGTCCATTTGTACCCTTTTCTGTGTGTGTATACTCATGGCTGTATTTCTCTCAATCTGTGCATATCCCTGTCTGTATGTATCCCTTTCAGTTTGTAACCCTTTCTGTCTGTATCCCTTTCTGTGTATATCCCTCTTCTGCGTTTATTCATGTCCCTATTCATCCATTTTTTGTGTATATCTCTGTCTGTCCATTTGTACCCCTTTCTGTGTGTGCATACTCCTGGCTGTATTTCTCTCAATCTGTGCATATCCCTGTCCGTATGTATCCCATTTTATGTAGTCCTATATCCCTGTCTGTGTGTATCCCTTTCTGTGTACGGGATATCCCTGTCTGTATGTATCCCATTTTATGTAGTCCTATATCCCTGTCTGTATGTATCCCTTTCTGTGTACGAGATATCCCTGTCTGTATGTATCCCTTTCTGTGTATATCCCTGTCTGTATGTATCCCTTTCTGTGAATATCCCTGTCTGTATGTATCCCTTTCTGTGTACGAGATATCCCTGTCCGTATGTATCCCATTTTATGTAGTCCTATATCCCTGTCTGTGTGTATCCCTTTCTGTGTACAAGATATCCCTGTCCGTATGTATCCCATTTTATGTAGTCCTATATCCCTG